GCATGTGTGCACGCATACATACGTATGTACATTCACGCGTACATACACGTTTATACACACATGCACACACATGCACATACATACACACATACACTTTCGATAGTATGCGTTTTTTCGTTGCATGGATGCGAAAGACGCATAAAAACTGGTGCCCTTTATCGGCAAAACTTGCCGGAAAACTGTGCGAAACACTCATCTTTGCACCGATAGTCGATGCGCTGTCGAATTATTTCTTTCTGTGTTTTGTAAAACTCTGGGACCTGTGTTTATTTTCAGTGCTTCCACGAAACGCTCGAGCAGTGGCTCGGACTCACGCAGAAGCTCGCCAGGCAAAAAAACCGATTAGGCTTTGCTTCTCGCATCTTTCCAGACCTCAGCCTGCTGCTTATCCTATTAACAAGGACTGCTTGCTCCAAAAAAAAAAGTTGTGTTTTATGTGTAAGCATTTTGTGGACCAGTATATTTTGCTTGTAAACTGAAAGCAGTTTCTTCTGGCTTCTAGCTGTGACCTAAATCTGAATGCAGCTGGTAAGGCCAATAAATGATGTATGGCCCAGGATGTACTTGCACTCCCACCGTCTGGTTGATCTCCTTGTTACTCGAATTAACGCTGAATAAGTTGTCGAATATTGTGAAGTTTTTTTTTTTTTGTTTTTGATTCCCTCTCATAAATTTATTGTTTTGAACGTCTCTCCAATTTATTAATAGTTTTTGGCACTGGTATTCCTCCTGGCGACGTATTGCAGACCGTCCCTAATCTTCCACTTCCCGCCCCTGTGCTTCTCAGTAATTCGTTGAATTTCCGCCTTTTTTCTGTTTTTTTTGCCCATTAGTTTTACAGTAGAAATAAAGTTATTGACTTACATGCACTACGCTTTTTATAAATGTTACTGACACGGGAAAAAAAACGAAAACTTTTACCAAACGCGAGTTCCGTTTGCATATCATGAGTACCAAGACTGCTCGGTCAATCGGTGCGAAGAGCCCGTGCGACTACATGCTACAAGAATAGTTTAGCTGTGCCAAATTTTACTCAAAATGTGTGAATTTTGCGCTGTTCGCATAACTACATGTTCTTCACTGCAGTACTGATTACAAGCCAGACGGACATTGCCCTGTGGCTTTTAAGCTTAGCCAAACAAAATCCACACAGTGTCTCCTTTTATTATACGTTTTTTTGCAGCTATGCAATGCAGAAAACGCATATTGACGAGAGGTTGTCTGTGTGTCCGTGAGTCTGTGTATGCGTCTGCATCGATTTTTCGTCTTGAGACCCATAAAAGGTACAAAGATGAAACTTTGGGAGCTTAATCTACATGCACGTACGGGCCCCATTCCTCAAAGTG